TCAAAACAGCCATATTGTAACAGCATGCCCGTGCTTCAGAAAATGTAAAACAAAAGTAACCATCAAATATGTGACATCTATTCTGGAACACACTGTCAGTGGCATGCATAAACACTTAGGAAAACAGTGCGGCCATTACTTTCCAATTTTATCTATACTCCTGGGCATTCTAACAGGCCGGAAGAAGCTGTCTCGCTTGGAACTATCCCCTTTATCGCTTTCTCCATCACCCTCCTTTCTATCTTCTTCTTCTTCTTCATCATCATGATCATCAAAAGGGTTCAGTGACTCGTCGTAGGTTGAGGAACTGCGGGCCAGCACATGTAAGAGAACATCTTACAGTAGTTAGTATTTCTTTAGGGTCAGCTCAGAGATATAGGACAAATACAACCTGGAAAAACCATTAGTTGGCTCCAGCCTATACTTACCCATTTTTCCGTGTATACAATGGGTCATGTGTAAGACGACCCTTTTATTTAGCCCAAATACAATCGGCTTTGTAGCCACATGTACACACAATTTAAAATCGGCAAATCAGCCATGTGCACATGTGGACTGGCACCTGAGACAACAGATCATGTCCTCCAAGACTGTCCCAAATACAACATATCAAATGAAAACTTTTGGCAAAGAGAAACATCTGTGCAAGTCAAACTTTACGGGTTGCTGGGTGAATTACAAAAGACAGTGAAGTTCAAACTAGAGACAACATTGCAGGTATAGATAATCTATTTCAAGCGAATGAAAGAAGAAGAAGATTTAGCCCATAATTAATAAATAACTCTTTTTTTTTCATCATGAACCAAGTAAAGCAGTCCACATTAACATAAAATATATAACAAGTGTAAATCAATAAAAGTTTGAAGAAAAAAAAAAAAACAGGAAACATTAGCTCATTAATCAACCAATAAAAGTAAACAATTATTAAATTAAAATATTAGAAAAATTATGAAAGCAATGTGCAGCCAATCAATCCAAATATAAAAATAATGATGACTAATTGTGTCAAAATTTACATATAGGTTCAAGAATTTGCATACATACAATGTATGTCTTAATGGAAAACATCAAAGTTATTTCACACATTCCGCCTGTGAGTGTTGAGATCTGCCTGAAAATGAGCAGTAACTGAATGTTCAGTCAATACTGAAGTTTGGAATGGTTTAAAATAAACAAATCAAGTTATTTAATTTATTTCATTCAACGCCCAATTCTATTCAAACCTGAAAACAAAACAATTATTATTATATGGATAACTGGATCATGATCTTGGATTATGGGAAAACATGCAGGTTAGGATCAAGACAAGAGGATATAGGTGTTTTCATTTCCATGTGAAATGCATCTTCTTCTAAAGACTGCTGATCTCTTTATGATAGGTATTCCGGTACTTAAAGACTGGACTTTTGTCAAGGACAATTAGTTTACTTCTATTCTTCAAAGTCGGAGTATATCTACTGAGAAGCAAGGAACCAAGAGTCAGCAGAGAAATAAGTCAGATCTGTGTAACCGATGTGCATGCAACGCTCAGGTTCTGGAGGTCCAGAAGTGGACGAACATCCAGAACTTTCTGCCAGTGAACGTGAGGAAAGAATTTACTTCTTTTAACTGTGATGTGTAAGTAATTCTTTAGTCATGTCATGAGAAGGAGAAAACTAGAAAACGTCACAACAGTGGAAAAGTTGGAGGGGAAGTGAGGCAGGTACAGACAAAGCGAGAAAATTTTGGACAGTTGAACATCGTGGCATGGAAGATTATCTGTGTCAAAACTGACTGAAAGTACATGAAATAGAAGGTTGTGGATAGACATGACTACCAACTTCACACAGAATGGACTATAAGAAGTTGATAATGTAAGTAAAGTAAAAGTAAAAAACCTTTTCCCACCTTCAGGCATATTGGGCATAGAGGCCTAGACCTATATCTTATAGAACAATCAACACTTGGTGGGTGGTGTGATCAGCATCATGCCAGCCATCTTTACTTCCCAGGACTTTACCTGGTACCTATTCAAGACTAGGTCGACCTGGTAGGGAAGGTCATTTTTGAAAAAGGTCTGGTACCTTAGGACCCCAAACCCACGACCTTCTGATACGCAGGTGAGAGTCTAGCCGCTACACCACTGAGACCCCTGTTGATAATTAGAAGGTTCGACTGGACAACTATGGCTTGAGCAGATACCAAGCCACACTATGTCTACATTACAAGAACTCATGTGGATATACTGTCCTGGACATGCAGGAGCCAGAGGGAATATTTCTGGGCAACAAAATACACAGCGATAGGAGCACTCATACTGGACAAGCGGACATTCTGAAAGTCATGGACAAATGCTGATGGTAGATATAACGTTAGGTGAAATAAAATGTGCAAGGATGTGTGAATTCAAAATTAAGTGCAGATCCAGCAAGAAAGGACATATGCAAAGATGTGAGTTCAACCAGTGTGCCATTGGAAAAGACCCATCTACACTTTATGACATTTGCTGCAAGAGACGGATTTGCACCTTTGCATATACCAGTATGCTATCATGTTTAGTCTTAAATCAGCGACTATGATATGGATTACAGGATCACAATCATGGATTGTGGGGAAACTCGCAGGAAAGGGATCAAGGCAACATGTGATATGTTTCTTCATTTCCACATGAATTGCATCTTTTGAGGATCATTTACAGATACATATCGTTAGTGATTTGTGCACAACTTACAGAGTGGACTGAAGAGTCCAATAACAGACGAACTCTCGTGGATCTGGACTTGAGAAGTCTGTCACATAATATCTTTTAGCAAAAGGTAAACATCAATAATAAAGACACTTTTGTAGTTATGACGTAGCAATGTGTAAAGCAATTCACACCTCACTTGTATCTGTATGAGTCCACATTTTAGCCCCCCAGTTGATGTTTTTTTTTTTTGCAAGGGGAGGGGGGATGGAAGAGAAGAATCTGAGGCAGTGAAGTGAACAGTGCTGAAAGTCTTAAAAATTAGGGGTACTTTGATGTTGGAGTGCATCTGCCTGAGATCCATGGAACCAAAAGTCTGCATACAAATAAGGCAGATCTGTCAAATGGATGTGCAAACAAAACTCAAGTTCTGGAACAAGACCAAAGTCCAGAAGTGGATGAACAGCCAGGACTTTTCTAAGAAGTTTACAGTTGGTGAAAGCTAAGAAGAAGAAGGAGAAGAAACACCAGGTATCCTTTTCACAACTGACTTGAGCTCCCATGCCAGCCCAGTCTAAAATGCCATAATAGGTAATGTCCCAGGATGTAGACGTCCAGGCAGGAAAGCATAGTAACTAGACTCTCTTCTCTTGGCATGAAAGCCCTGGGTTCACATCCCAATTGGTGGATATTTTTTTTTTAAATATTAAAGCGCCCTTGGCTCTCACGTCCATCCAGCTGAAAACGAGTACTAGGTAATGTCAGGGGAAGTAATGGCGGCCAGTGTCATAGTGACCACTGTGATGACGGTATTTTGCATGGTAGCTCATGGTCACAACAAGCCTGGCAGAAATTCAGTGAGAGATATGTGTGTGTCAAAGAATAGCCAAGGCTGAAGAGATCAATGAGGAAAGATATGAGGCAGAGGTCATTTGTGAACCAGATATCAAACAAGACAGTCATAGTATTGAATATGTTAAATATAGTCTAAATTATTTGTAAAAGAACATAGCTATGATGCTAGGAAAGGAAAATATATATGTAGTTAAAGTGGTGGGCACGGAGATGTGAGAATAACTACATTAAACTGATAGTATATTTTTTTAAAAACAGCACTGTTATATTGGCTACTGTGACAACCGTGCTTTGCATGGTAGCTCACGGACATAACAAGCCGTGCAGAAAGCCCGTGCAAGATAGGTGTGTCACAATACCCAAGGTTGAAGAGATCAATATGGAACTATATGATGCCGGGGTCAGTTGTGAACCAGATATCAAAGAAGACAAGTCATACTACTGAATATGTTAAATATAGTCTAAATGATGTGTATAAGAGTTTAGCTAGTGCCAGAAAAGGCACAGTTAAAGTGTGGACACTTAAATGTTAAGAACAACTACATTAAATCGATAGTATTTATAAAAGAACAGCAGTGTCAAACTGCATTTATGCCAAGAAGTTGTTTTCCCGCAACAGTTTGGTTTATGTGCGGAAGAGTACAGATGCACAGTGCTAGACTCTTCTACCTCAGAGGGGTGTTACGCTGTCTTGCCTCCATTTACATCAGCATTGATGTCGCGTGTTCAATACTATACTACACAATGACAAAGCTTTAAACAAACCCCAGAACATCTAGAACAGGCCCTAACCCAACCCCCCCCCCCCCCCCCCCCCCCACCCTACCCCCCACAGCCTAAGTCTAGGGTCACAAGAGAGACTTTTTTTTTCAAAGAAAGCAGTACAACCCTCTGACCTAGATCAGACTGAGAAAGTGTGTAGATGGGCCGGGAAACGTGAACAGGTCCCATACTGAAACTTGTGAAATATGTAATGTCATACATACCCGTGATCAATATTCAAAAGTTACATGCTCTACTAAGCTGTAAAACATTTCCTGGCTTGGAATTCAGTGATTTGTGAGTAATGTGAATAATGCAACATCTTTTAACTATTTAAAGTTGCATGACTTGTGAATTACATTATCTGAGCATTGCCTAAACACTTGAAAACATAATGATGAGACTAAAATAATCATGCTTCTAACATAAGTATTTATAAAAAAACAACACAACAGTACTCTGTGTAAATACTGTTGTCATCTGGATAAAGAGTAAAAACTGGTTCCCGATCCTTACCCACACAGCACTGCAAGTTACACTAGCCTCATGTAGTCAACTGCAACACTTTCGAAGCTTAAACATGGTGTCTGGTATTTTGCCTATTGGTCTGCCTTCCAGATTTTAATTTTCAAATCTTAGGATGTCAAAACCTTCAGGCAACAGCCTGGAGGAGACAAAAGTCAGAAACGGTAAACAATAAAAGCACCAGGCAACTAACCTGTCTAGGCCACTGCTGGAAGCTCCTCCGTATGAACTGGTGGAAGTCTGTGATTGGTATGCCTGTGACTGGCGGTTCTGCCCCCTCCCGGGCTCATTGATGTAGCTGTCCACACTGTCCTCCCTGGAATGTTTGATGCCTGTAATCACAACCCCACCATCTGCAGAGCTCACAGTGGATTTACCTCGTTTGGAGATTGCTTGGAGTTCGGGGGAATAGTCCTGTCAATAAGCAACAACAAACTGAACCATCTGACATTACTTGACATGTTGAGAAAAGTGGGGACAGGTATGGCAAGTATCAGTGGCCCTTGGAGTTTTCACGAGGGCATTCAGATATGTTAGGAAACAAGCAGACAGATTAGCTAGTTCTACACCACTTGGTGGCAAACTGCTGAATGACAAGCTAGTTGTGGTCAAGGTACTCTGGGAGCAAGTGAACAGTGCAGAGGCACAACACAGATTGTCATGATGTAAAGAGAATGGTGCAGTGAGGAGTGCCTGGTGGATACAGACAACACTCAAAACACAGACAACACTCAACACACAGACAACACTCAACACACAGACGACACTCAACACAGGCAAAAGTCAAAAGGGATATACAATCAGACTGCTAATGTTACCATCAAAATTTGAACTCTTCACTACCTGCTGAAGATGGTAACGGAGTGCTTATGGGAATGTCCTGAATGATGTGATGATGGTTCTTAACCTAACATAACCAGTTACTACAGCCCGCAAGTGATCTTTACAAACATAGAACTACAAATATAGACTCAAACCTCCCAACCAAGTGATAGGCCAACCACAAACTCCCTTATCAGTACTACAACCAAAAGAGTTTTTTGTAAACAAAGTGTTAAGCCAATTTCACAGTACTACTGTCAAAAGAGTTAGATCCAACCAAGTGGTAAGATCAACATGAAATCACTAAACAGTACTACCAAAAGAGTTATTCCAACAAAGTGCCTACAGTATTCTTCTTCTTCTTCTTCTTCTTCTTCTTCTTCTTCTCTGTTCACCGGCTGCAAGCTCCGGCGGAAAGTCCTGGTTGATTGTTCATGTGAACTTTGGCTTTGTACTGGGGCTTGAGTTTTGCAAGAACATCCATTATATTGGCTAATCTGTGTGCAGCTGATTTTTCCTGGCCGCTTGGACAGATGCACTCTGACTTCAAAGGAAGTACCCAATTAGTCAACTCCTATGACAAGCTTGTTAGGGAGCCAGTGGGTCTGTTCTTGTTTTCCCCACAATGGGGCCCCAGAACCCACATGGGGATACAGTATTATTAAAAGTGTATGAACTAATGAACTGATAAGCCATACACTAGGCTGGCACCTTTCTGTCTTTCCTGAGTATAAACTGAGCTATAGGGAGGCATGAGAATCACAGCACAGGGCGATGCCAAGTGTGTAACTGGCAAGACACGCAAAGCCAACCACTAACATCCTCAACAGAATTATCAAAAGAGAAAGATCCAGAGCTTCTTCTTCTTCTTCAGCATTCCAAGCCCTTGAGGTTCATTGCTGCAGATATCACCCGCCTCCATTCATCTCTCTGGTTGGCCTTCTCTTTCCAGTTGGTGATACCAAGTGTTTGCAGGTCTGTCTGGACATTATCTCTCCATCGTCTTCTTGGTCTGCCTGGTGGTCTACTACTAATCATCTCCCTCGTGTATACAGTTTTTACTTCTCTGTCATCTGACATTCTTTTATTATGCCCCAACTATTTCAGTCTATTAGCTCTCATCATGCCAGTTATAAGTGGTGATTTAAACAGAATTTGAATTTTATGTTTGCTTTTCACTCTCCATTCACCGCTGTTTGCATCTTTAAAGGGTCCAAAGATACAGAGCTGACTTTCAAAATGTACCCGTACTCCAAGGTTGACCCAGCCTAAAATGGATACCATTGAAATGGTATGGCAACCATTAATACTCTCTATTAGTGTTATTGAATGAGTGGTGGTCCAACCATCAAAATGTTCAGCACCAATATAAAAACTGTCAATGAAATTCAGGTATGCTGGGCCAAAAGGCACAGGCCTGTCTGTAAACTACACAATGAAGTGCTACACTATCATGGGTGAACACAGAAGAAGAGGAAGAAGATAAAGCAGCAGCAGAAGAAGAAAGAGGAAGAAGTGAGGCACAGAAGAAAAAAGAGGAAAGAACAGCAGCAGCAATGAATGAAGAAGAATAAGAAAGAGACAAGGAGGGAGAAAGTCAATAGGGAAGAGCAGCATCTGCAGTAGCCGGAGGATGAGAAGGAGAAGAAGAATCACATGAATGGTAAGCCAGCCATTAACATCCTCATTAGTACTAACAGAACAAACCACAAAACACACCAACCTCAAACTCTGGCCAATTCATAGGCATATCAACACCGTAGTTGTGAGACCACCACTTCAAGTCCTTGTAGTAGTCCACATTGTTAATGGTGGAATGTAAGCTTGTATAGATCTGGTTGAACCTTTTGATGAAATCACAGAAATGATTGCAGTTACTGACAAGAACAAATTCTAATAAACAGACGCATTTCCTTCCTATGGTCTATTTTAAAAGGCACTGTCTGGCGTAGATGTCAGCTTCTATGACTTAGGCACTGTGAATGCGGTTTGTAATTCTGAGATGTTTGGTTTAATTCCAGCTGCTAACAATTTGGCAACAGGCCACTAGGGTCAACTTTGACACTGGCATCGACAGCTGACTGTTCATAAAGCAATGGCAAACTACTGAATATAAAATGTTCTAGTAAAATCACAAACAAAAATATGCATGATACGGTTGGTTCTACTAAGTCCTATAAAGGATAAACAACCTATCTTTTGATTACTGTTTTTTTAAACAGAAGTCCCAAGTCTCCTGTTTTGTACACTGTCTATCACAGTACATTGAAAAGTGGGTCTAGAAGATATTCAACGCTGAGCAGGAAAAACACAGACTGACTTTTAATCAAGTTGTAACGGGTGCTGTTAGCATGTCAACTCTTCATTGGCTGCTGAGGGGGAGATGAAGCTTGCGTGGGAATGTCCAGATTTCAGTCACATCAATTCCTGATTCATTCATTCTTTCAATCACTAATGGTAAATATGGTCTTCCATGCTGCAATGTCAGGATTTATGGCATTTTCTCCAGGTTTTCTCAAGTCACTTCTGATATTTAATTTTCTTGTTGGCATTCCCTTTTCTTCTAATCGTGATACAAGCGGCTTCAAATTAAAACTTCAAAAGTGTGAAAGACATTACAATAACTATGCTATTGTCCTGTAACCTGTCAATATTATATCATCAATATTCATTTTAGGGTTTCTTATGGATGTCCTCACTTCCTCAATATTTTTATTTCTAAATTTAGTGTCTGCTTAGTGATTCTCTGCTCATGAGGTGTCCAGTACACTAACTTTGTGTGTACTCATTACTAAATTATTGTCGTTTTTATAGCTATTTTTTAATTTTAAACCTACTCTTATCTTTTAAAGAATAAACATATACTTCAACTTACTTGGGTTCCACACTTAAATCTAAGCATGTGTGTATCTGAAACAATGTCTTTTTGAAGAATTCTATTCTTTTCTGTTCAAACTCTTGGCATTTCTTGAAAATCTGCAACAGTTATGCGCATACAATTAATGATAAAAAAAATAAAGATTCAACAAAATCAAGTAAGTTACAGAACAAATACAGAACTGTAACATCATGACAATACAAAGACAGACTGCGGCTTTGCAAATGTGAAGTGAATACAGGGGAAAAAAGTCATTTTTCATGGAAACAAAACAAAGTAAATGAACAAATGTTGAAGGGACACCAAATGAAAAGACAGTTGTTGAAAGAAATTTTTTTTTTATTTAAAAAAAGATGCAACATTTCAGCCGCATTAATACACAACACATTATAATACTGGAGGGAAAAGCAAACAGGGGGAAGATGGCGATACAAATGAGAAGATAACATTAAACTACTGATGCAACCAGGGCAAGAGACACAGTGATGGAGATCCATTGCAGCCAGCCTTCACTGTGAAGATGGCACCTGAACTAGTTGCTTGCAAACCATGACAAACACTGGCATAGAGGCAATACAATGGTGACCGACTGCCAGTGAAACTAGCCACACAACAAGCTGTTAGTTGAAGATTTTTATTTAAATGTTGTTGCCCTCGAGGAATGCTTTCTGAAAGAGTAACAACCAGTGACTCAAAGAGCAGCTATTTGAATGACAATCCAACCGAAGATAATCCTAAAAACTCTGTTCCAACAAATAATGCAGGTCACACAAAAGAGGCCACTATCTAACTTCTTCTTTTTCGCATTCACGGGCTGTAAACTCTAGCGGAAAGTTCTTGTTGTTCGTCCACTTCTGGACTGCAGACCTGTTTCAGAACTTGAGTGTTTCGTGTGCATCCATTTGACAGATCTGACTCATTTGTGTGCAGACTGTTGGTTCCTCTCTGACAGATGCACTTCCACTTCGAAGGAAGCTAACAATTAGTGTGTTTTTTTTTTGTGTGTGTGGGTAGGCAGTAGGTCTATTCTTGTTTTCCGTATAATAGAGCCCTGGAACCCACATGGGGAACTAAGTAACTTCTAGTCCAATCAGGGTGGATCTTTTTTCCTGAAGACTGACTAGAAAGTTTCCCATGTGTGCTCCAGGGCCCCAGTTGGGGAGGAAACAAGAACAAAGCGACTACACCCCTAACGAGCATGTCATAAAAGGCAATTAATTAGGGTTTTGCTAAAATCAAATGTGTTGAGTCAAAAGACATAGATACATAGATATCACAGCCTAGTCGTAAACCAGAACGCAATGTGCCAACCACTTGTTTAAGGGCAAACACAGAAGGAGGAGGAGGAAGAAGTCTAGAAAGTTCCTAATGTAATCACTAGACACAAGAGTGATAATCAGGGGTGAGAACTGATACACCTTCAAATAAACTACATCAGAGCACTGTGAGTTTGGGTGACCAGTTCCCTTCCTGACTATCTTTCCTGAATGGGATAATGTTCAAAACATTCTGAAAATTATCCAGTGTCTATTTTACAAGGTTTGAACAGAAAGAAAGAAAGAAAGAAAGAAAGAAAGAAAGAAAGAAAGAAAGAAAGAAAGAAAGAAAGAAAGAAAGAAAGAAAGAAAGAAAGAAAGAAAGAAAGAAAGAAAGAAAGAAAGAAAGAAAGAAAGAAAGAAAGAAAGAAAGAAAGAAAGAAAGAAAGAAAGAAGTG